TGTGTGTGTGTGTGTGTGTGTGTGTGTGTGTGTGTGTGTGTGTGTGTGTGTGTGTGTGTACCTCCACAGCAGCGTCTCTGTATTTTATAACCTCCTGATGCTCCAGGCTGCTCGTGGCTGTAGTGATGGAGGCTGTTGTCATGGTAACAGATGATGATGAGTCAGCAGAGTCTTTGGTGGGCGGGAACAGGAATGTGATCCCAGACCAGGTCCTGACACACACACACACACACAGGTTACAGAGTTCTGTAGGACCTTGCTCAGGTGTTCAGAGTGATCCTCAGAAGTTACCTGCTTCCTCTGCAGGGATCACTTCCTGTTTCAGCTCCTGTCTCCATGGTAACAGAGCTGTGGTCCATCACCGCTGCATCAGTTTCTGCAGAAAATCATGAAGAACGTCTCCCAACCTGACCCCTGAAACCCTGCAGAAGGTCCTGAACCAAACAGACCCAGGTCCCTCCTACTGGTCCCTCATGGTAGTCTAAACCAGATCCAGGATCCTGGCGTTCACTACAGAGAAGTCTGGGTCTGCAGGTACTGTATAGTCTCACAGGAACCTGATCTGGATATACAGCCTCAGTCCAGACTGTTCTCCCCTGTGCTTCCACAATGAAACGAGTCACCAGAGTCCACCAGAGTCTGTCAGAGTCAACCAGAGTCTATCAGAGTCAACCAAAGTCCACCAGAGTCTGTCAGAGTCAACCAGAGTCTATCAGAGTCAACCAAAGTCCACCAGAGTCTATCAGAGTCAACCAGAGTCCACCAGAGTCTGTCAGAGTCAACCAGAGTCTATCAGAGTCAACCAAAGTCCACCAGAGTCTATCAGAGTCAACCAGAGTCTATCAGAGTCAACCAGAGTCCACCAGAGTCTATCAGAGTCAACCAGAGTCTATCAGAGCCAACCAGAGTCCACCAAAGTCTATCAGAGTCTAACAAGGTCCACCAGTCTGTCAGAGTCCACCAGAGTCTAACAGAGTCTAACAAGGTCCACCAGAGTCTGTCAGAGTCCATCAGAGTCTGTCAGAGTCCATCAGAGTCTGTCAGAGTCCACCAGAGTCTATCAGAGTCAACCAGAGTCTATCAGAGCCAACCAGAGTCCACCAAAGTCTATCAGAGTCTAACAAGGTCCACCAGTCTGTCAGAGTCCACCAGAGTCTAACAGAGTCTAACAAGGTCCACCACAGTCTGTCAGAGTCCATCAGAGTCTGTCAGAGTCCATCAGAGTCTGTCAGAGTCCACCAGAGTCTATCAGAGTCAACCAGAGTCCACCAGACTCCACAAGAGTCCACCAGAGTCTATCAGAGTCAACCAGAGTCCACCAGACTCCACAAGAGTCCACCAGAGTCTATC